TGTGTGGGAGGCATACATTGGTTTGGCCCAAAAAGGAGGGCCATCTCAAAGGGGGAGGGCTTCCAGGTTATAGGTGGGTTTAAAGATTCTTTAGATTGTAATTGGCTAAAGACAGGAAGCTTTGTCTAAAGACCTGGAATGTTTTCACATAAACTGTTTACCAGAGATAAGCCACCATTTGTTGCATAAATTGAGGGCCTGCAGGTGTGTCTTGCACACCCTTAGGCCTGTCAATGGGTTACAAAGGAAGTCTCCAAGAAGGGAGGGGGCCATAAGGCATGTCTGACCTCCCTCCTCCTGGCAGGCAACTTTGCCCTAGAATATTCCTTTGGCTACGAGGGGGTCCATTCAGTCAGCTGGTTGGGGGTGGTGAGCATTTTAGTTCACATTAGTAAAAGTTTCTTGGAGGTGTGAACTAAAGTATAATTTTAAGGCTCAACCCCCACCGGCTGGCTGAATGGACCCCCTCGTGGCCAAAGGAATATCTTAAAACTAAATTGTCTGCCAGGAGGAGGGACAGGCCTCATCATGTCCCCCTCCCTTATTGGGGACTTCCTTTATAACCCATTAACAGGCCTAAAGGTATGCAAGACAAACCTACAGGTCCTCAATTTACACCACAAATCTATGACCTGTGGCTTATCTCTGACAACAGGTCCTTATGGTAAAACATTCCAACCCTTTAGACAAAGCTTCATGTCTTTAACCAATTACAATCCAAAGACTCTTTAAACCCACCTATAACCTTTAAGCACCTCTCCGCCTTCAAGATGGCCCACCTTTTTGGGCCAAACCACAATGTATGCCTCCCACGTATTGATTTATGACTTTACCTGTAACCCCTGTCTCCCTGAAATGTATAAAAACCAAACTGTAACCCAGCCCATCTACTTGCCCAAGGCCTCTCTCTTGGCAGTGGCTCCGGGTCATGGTCCTCAAATTTGGCTCAGAATAAATCTCTTTAAAATTATTTTACAGAGTTTGGCTTTTTACCGTTGACAGAGTGGACCTGTCTTTATGTTTTTAAAATATCTTCTAGCCTTCCATATATGATAAGGACCAACTGCATCTCAGACGTGGTGCTAGGTGACTGACAGATATTTTCTCATTTAATCCTTACACAAACCCTGTGATGTCAGCACCACTACCGTCCTCACTTTACAGAGGATCCTGTTGCTCCAACGAGTTAAGTAACCAAAACTCAAAGCTGCAACGAACGCAGCAGAGCAAGCATTGAAAATTTCCTTCATGCCCTCAGCATCTTTCATCAAAACCCCAGCAATAGCCTTAGCAGGCTTGTTGCCTAGGCTCTCTTCAATCCATTTTCTGTGGGACACTACTAGAATTATTGTTAGAACTATTCTCACTCTCTTCTAGAGAAAATGATCTAGAAATGATTAGTAGAGTAACCTTAGGTGTTTGATGGGATTCAAATTCTGAGCTATCACTTAACTGAGTTTGGTCATAACATAATCTTCTCTGAGATTGAGTTTCCTCCCCTGTAAAGTGAGGTTGCTAGTAACTGCTTCAGGTGGGACTATTATATAATAGATTAAATAAGATAATAAATTCAAGTTCTCAGCCTAGTTCCTGGCTAATAGGAAGTACTCTTTATAGATGATAGTGCTGTCACTTCCCTGCTGAAAACAACTCCCCTCTGGTGGCCATGGCAGAGAGTCCAGATCTTAGCATGATGCACACCTCAGCTGGTGTCTCCTGTCACTCTTGCCACTGGCTGGACTACTCACAGACAGATGCACTATACACTTCCAAGCCTCCTCACTTTGCCCATGTTGTTCCCTCTGCCCAGAATGCTTTTCCCTGTGTGCCTATACATCAGTCCTCTCCTGTCTGCCATGGGGAACTCTCAATACACCCTCCCAAAAACACACTAGTTTACTTCCTCCAGGCCTGTCTGAAAAGCCAGTTTTCCTTTAAGTGATAGAATCAAGGGTGTACTTTTCATGTGGCTTTATGTTTGCCTTTCAAATTAGTGAGACAAAAAAAGATGATTCAGTAGATTGTTTGGGGACAGTCAGCTAACCATATAGAAGAAAATAAGGTTTGATCTCCATCTTATACTTTGCCTTCAAAAACAGTTCTAAATTTTTTAATTGACACGATTAAACTATTAAAATAATACTAGAAGAAAAAGGTAAACATTTTACAATTCTCAAGGTCAAGAAACAAGTTCTATGCATGAAATTTTTTAAACTGGGAAAAATATGTGCAGTGTATATGAT